CAGCAAGGCTCGCAGCATTGGAGCAGGGTTCAAACTGTTTCACCATGGTGTGGATAGAAAGAGAAATGGAGTAGGGGTGGTCCTGAAAGAGGAGTTGGCAAAGAATGTAGCAGAGGTGAAAAGAGTGTCAGATAGTGTGATGTGTCTAAAGGTAGAAGTTGAAGATTTGATGCTAGACATTGTCAGTGGTTATGCTCCACAGGTCGGATGTGATGGGGAGGAGAAATATACATTTTGGAAAGAACTAGATGAAGTGATAGAGAGTATTCCCAGGGAGGAAAGAGTGGTGATCAGAGCAGACCTGAATGGACATGTTGGCGAAGGAAACAGAGGGGATGAGGAAGTGATGGGTAGGTTTGGTGTCAAGGAAAGAAACCAGAAAGGACAGATGGTGGTGGATTTTGCCAAGAGAATGGAAATGACTGTAGTGAACACTTATTTCCAAAAGTGGGAGGAACATAGAGTGACCTATAAGAATGGAGGAAGGAGTACACAGGTCGACTACATTCTGTGTAGAAAAGGAAACCTGAGGGAGAATGGAGACTGTAAGGTTGTGGTAGGGGAGAGCGTGGTCAGACAGCATTGGATGGTTGTGTGTAAAATGACTGTTGTTGTGAAGAAGAGAAAAAGAGCAAAATCAGAGAAGAAGACCTAATGGCAGAAGATGAAGAAGGAAAAATGTTGTGAGAAATTCAGAAAGGAGCTGTTAAAGGCTCTGGGTGGTAAGAAAGAGCTTCCAAATGACTGGGCTACTACAGCAACAGTAATTAGAGAGACAGGTAGGAAGGTACTTGGTGTGTCATCTGGACAGAGAATGGAAGATAAGGAAACCTGGTGGTGGAATAGTGAAATGCAGGAAGCTATTCGTTTAAGATAGGAATGCTAATGTTCTAACAAGTGAGGAGAGTGTGACAGAAAGATGGAAGGAGTACTTTGAGGAGCTAATGAATGAAGAGAATGAAAGAGAAAGAAGAGTAGAGTTCATAGAAAGTGTCGACCAGGAAGTGGGAAAGATTAGTGAGGGTGAAGTCAGGAAAGCTCTGAAAATAATTAGCTTTTGTCATCAGGTGGTATGTCATCATCCATCTGATTACATACCAGCGGAGGTTTGGAAATGTCTTGGAGAGATGGCAGTGAGGTTTTTGACTCAAATATTCAATGGCATATTTGAGGGTGAGAAAATGCCTCAGAAATGGAGAAGAAGTGTGCGGGTGACCATTTTTAAGAACACGGGTGATGTACAGAGTTGTAGCAACTACAGGGGAATTACGTTGATGAGTCACACTATGAAGATCTGGGAGAGAGTTGTGGAAGCAAGACATAGAGGAGAGGAGACTGTGAGCAGCAGTATGGTTTCATGTCAAGCCAGAGCATCACAAACGCCATCTTTGCTTTGAGAATGCTGATGGAGAAGTACAGGGAGGGTCAGAAAGAACTCCATTGTGTCTTTGTGGATTTATAAAAAGCATATGACAGAGTGCCGGGGAGGAGGTGTGGTATTGCATGAGGAAATCTGGAGTGGCAGAGAAGTATGTTAGACTGGTACAGGACATGTATGGGGACAGCAGGACAGTGGTGAGATGTGCTGTAGGAGTGACAGGTGGAGGTGGGAGTGCATCAAGGATCAGCTCTGAGCCCCTTCTTGTTTGCTCTGGTGATGGACCAACTAACAGATGAGGTCAGGCAAGAATCCCCGTAGACTATGATGTTTGCTGATGGCATAATTGACATTGCATTTATGTGTTGTGATGCTAGATATCTGTGTGTTTTTTATGTTCTGCAGAACAGGAACCTGCTGTAAAACAGCAATTATGCTGAGTCAGGCCCAATTTATTTTAATCTTTTCCTGTTTTAAAAAATAAATAAATTGTGATCTGTGGTGAGAACAGAGAACAGATGGAAGAGAACTTGGAGATGTGGAGGTATGCACTTGAAACAAGAGAAATGAAAGTCAGCCGTAGTAAGAGAGAGTCCATGTGTGTGAATGAGAAGGAGGAGGTGGAACAGTGAGGCCACAAGGATCAGAGGATCAAAGGTGCAGGACTTTAAGGACTTGGGGTCCACTGTCCAGGAAAATGGGGAGTGTGGTAAAGAAGTGAAAAAGAGAGTCCAGACAGTCTGAAGTGGATGGAGAAAATTTCAGGAGTGATTTGTGACAAAAGGGTGTCAGCAAATGTCAAAGGAAAAGTTTACAAGACAGTGGTGAGACCAGCTATATTGTGTGGTCTGGAGACAGAGACATGGACAAAAAGACAGGAGACAGAACTGGAAGTGGCAGAAATAAAGATGTTGAGGTTCTCCTTAGGAGTGACAAGGATGGATAAGATTAGGAATGAGATCATCAGAGGTACAGCACAGGTTGAACAACTGGGAGATAAAATTAGAGAGGCCAGACTTAGATGGTTTGGACATGTCCAGAGGAGGGACAGTAGGTATACTGGTACTTTGTAGAAGAATGTTAGAAATGCAGCTGAGGAAGGCAAAAGAGGAGCTTTATGGATGCAGTTAGAGAGGACATGGAGGTAGTTGGAGTGAGAACAGAGGATGCAGAGGACAGAGTGAGATGGAAGAGAATGACTCGCTGTAGCGACCCCTGAAGAGAGAAAAGTTGAAAAAAGTAGTGCAGGAAAAACAGCACTTTGGAAAACTGATTTTTTATTTTTATTTCACAAGAACTGAATTCCAGATATCTGCTTTAAAGATCATACCTGACTAATATGACACATTACTTTTACATTGACAGTACATTAATATTAATTGTGTGTAATTTATGTCACACCAGCAGTCATTCTGTGTATGCGTGTTTCCCTGGTTAGCAGCAGAACTGGTAACAAGTCTCTATTTGCCTCTGATTCGTGTAAACAAAGGAGAGTCGCCTTCAACTAAATCTCTAAATCTGAACTGTTGCTCATCCCTTCCAACCAGTTTGCAAACAGCATATTCATCTTCTTCCTACTTATAATAAATAAAGTGTTGTGTGTTGTCATCATTGTATGTTCCCATACAAAGATGAAATTGGCCCTCTGCATTTAACCCATCGCACCTGGGATGCACCCAGGTGGGGCAGTGGGCAGCTATGCAGGCTGCCTGGGGAGAAATTTGGGATTGGATGTCCTGCTCAGAGACACCACAAGATGTGCAGTGACCGGGGATCGAGCCCAGGACCTTCGGGTCCCAAGTCGGCTGCCCTGCCCCTGCACCATCTCGGTCCCCTACATTTGAGACTACTACTGGAAATCTGCAGCTCGACTGTTCACTGTCTTTTTATTACGTTTGTGATTTTGAACACATAAGGATAAACAAAATTGAATATATTACCCAACTCTTTATATAAGCCAGTTATTTCATACTTCAACTAAAATCAATGTTCTTCTGCCATTTCTCTCAGCATCACAGTACTGGGAACGTGTTACAACATGGAAAATACTGCAGTCACCTAAAACGGAATGTGACCAAACAATATCATTTCTCTGTTGAGTCATTATCATAAAGCATAACTGAATGATACTGTAAACTTACATAACACTAGTGAAGATATGTGCTTAATTTGTTTCCTCATTCATTCATTCCTTTTTCTTTTTTATTTCTTGCCATTCAGAGAGCTCAGAGGAGATAGGGCGTTTGCAGTCTTGGGCCCTAAACTCTGGAACAATCTGCCCATCAACATTCGACAGGACACTTCAGTCTCTGCTTTTAAATCTCTCCTCAAAACTGTACTCATTGACATTTAACACGGGATGATCTGATTTAGTATTTCATTGTTTCTAATTATGTTTCATGTTTTTATGCTTTTATTCCTGATGTTGTAATTATATCTTGTTATTTTTATTTGATACTGTGATCTTTTTGTTAAGCACTTTGGTAACAGTTCCTGTTTTAAATGTGCTATATAAATAAATCTGACTTGACTTGATTCACAAAGGAGTGCTGTAGCACCCCCAGCACCCACATTTCCTACTGCCTTGCTAAGCAAGCAAAATGGTCTGAAACACTTCAGTTCATCAAATGCATATTCTCAATAGCCTAAATGTGATATATGTTTTATAATATAACCTGTTGAATTCAATTTGATATGTTTCATTCTTTAAATAGTTCAAAAGAACTTGTACAATCTGGGTCTACAGCACAAACGCTTTGAAATAGCCCATAAATAGGTAACAGAAGAGGAAGGTTATGAAATCAAAATAATTATTAATACCCCTTCATCACACCACCATCTAGACAACAAAAAGGGAAGTTCAACCAACTCTCCATGTACTGTAGTTATAACAAAATCAAAATTTCACCAATCTTTGTCCAAAAAGTCATTCCAGTGGGCCAATGAATGTTCATCATATTTGATTAAAAACAGATTTCATATAACTAAAGTTTAAAAAATCAAACCAAATTTGTTGTCTATACGATGAACAAAGCTTGGAAAAGCTTGGAAGAGCCTGTTCATGCGAAACATTTCTTTGGATTGTTGCTATGAAAGAACATTGGTGTAATAGAAAAATAAAGCATATTAGTAAGCAGACTTCAAATCCAGATCAAACCTTCAACATGCAGCTGTAGTAAGAAAGAAGCAGAACTAGATCTGTAGGCAGTTAAAGCTTAGATTCATCCCTAGTGAGTCACGTAGGTAATCTGATGCGTCATGAGCAATTAACATTAAGGTGGAGTTTTACTTAACAAACAAGTCAGTCTGTAACAAAAGAAACTGTTAGTTTTACAGAGCTTTTTAGTTTCTGTCTAGTTACTAACTAGCAACTTTACTTGTGGCAGTTTGGTTCTCACAAATGAAGTTTACCTTTATTATTTACATTGAGAAAACCTCTTGCAGTTAAATCTTAAAGAAGTAAACAGATTATTTTAAGGGTGGGTGGGGGTTACTAATTTACCTGGAGACTGAAGAACATCCATCCATCCATTATCTTTAACAGCTTTACCCGAGTGAACATGTTGATGTTCATGCATCATTCAAGGGGTTTAGCCCATTGTTCGTAGGCGAGTGCGTTTACCGTGGTGATGGGGTAGAGAGGGTTCTGTATGGACAGCAGGAGAACCTTGTTGCCACTGTTTGGGTTGTCAGCATTTGTTGGTCTTGTAATTCTCTTTGAGGTGGAGTAGTTAAAGTAAGCCTGTTGTCCTGGTTGACACAAGTTAAAACAGAAACAATAAATCACTTGGACTTTACATTTTGACTCATTTTATTATTTATAAATACTAAATCATCATAAGACTTGTACACATGTTGAGGACCCACATAAGCTCATTTCACAATATTAGCCTGCTATATGGCCGTAAAAACAGTCCTCTTTTATTACAAACAAGTTACATTTTCTGCATTTTATCAGCATAAAGGATCCTGAAATAATTAATGCATTAACCACAGTTATCTGAATCAAAATGTTTAACGTTATGTTCTTTGAGGTGGAAAAGTAAGAAATTGTTATTTATCTTGTTTATTTTGGTCATACTAAAGCAGGAATATGTTCTCAAAAGTTCACAAACGTGTATGAACATCTGTATGCTAAATACAAGCATTCATGCCAATTAATCTCATCAATTAATTGTTACAATAAAAAAAGAACAAGTCTGAAGCAAACCTGCAATGTAAACCGGCTCCTTGGCTCCACAGGACACGCAGCGGTCAGCACTCTCCACTGCAGAGAACTCTACCAAGGCCTGACGCTTGAAGGGCATCATCATCACGTAACTGAGAAAACAAGACTCAGAAATCAGGACAGGACTTACTGAGCTCCTCTGTGATTGTGTGAGCATGTTTGTGTGTGAGTTTTTCATCAGGGTTTCACAGTGCGATGTTTTTGTTTTTCCCAGCAGTATATTGAGGCGACTGTAAAATTAATGAACAAAGTATACTTTTTTTTTTTAATCAAGCTGATGTCCCCTGTCACTGAAGGCTTAAAAATAGTGAATGTTTGAAGTTTTTGAGATGTGTTTATTTGGACTGAAATTGAACGGGGAATGCAGGTAAACCTTAATGTTTTTGGCGTAAGATATTAAAGTGGGTAGGAGTTACACTGTGTCTGTAGGAGGTCATTTATTTTTTAGCTTGTCTGAGGCAGTGCAGAGTGGCAGATCCTGGTAGAGGGAGCAATTTTATCCACCACCAGGCACAATGGCAGAGCCGGGGGGTGGCCAGTGGTGAATTGATTAAGGTAGATAGATGGATAGATGATTGATAGGTTCAGCCACCCCAATCATTTGAGTAAAAATATATTTTTAAGCAAAATGACCAGAAAGCATGGTTTCCACAAATGATCGGGGTGGGCGATCAACACACACACGCATACATACATGTAATATGCATGGTGGTGGTCTTATCACAAACGTGCAGCATCCACCAGGCGTTTACTCCCAGTTTTTGTCTGAATTCTGAGAATTATTAACTGACTTACTACTAAATACTGATAAAATCATAATAATGGGTGATTTCAATGTTCATGTAGATGTTGAGAGTGATAGCTTAAGCAAAGCCTTTAATAATTTAAGACATTTGGTTTTACCCAAAACATCCGCACACTGTTCTTTCTGACCATTTTTTAATAACCTTTGAGTTTACATTAAATGACTACACAGTCACTGAGAGTAAATTTCATCTCAGTAGGTGCTTATCAGAAAATGCTTTAACCAAATTTAAACAATCTCTTCCATCAATGTTTTCCTCTGTCTTGCAGAGTAATGTATCAGAGAACAGTGACTTAGATCATCTAGTTGATCATCTTACAACTTCAATGCAAACTTAATTTGATAAAATTGCTCCACTGAAAAATAAAGTAATCAATCAGAGGAAAATGAGTCCTTGGTTCAATTCTGAGTTATGTACTTTAAAGCAGGCATCTAGAAACCAGGAGAGAAAATGGTGCTCTACTAACATGGAAGAATTTAATTTAACTTGGAAAGATATTCTGCTAACATATAAGAAAGCTCTTCGTAAAGCTAGAACTTTATATTATTCATATTTAATAGATGAGAATAAAAATAACCCTAGGTTTCTGTTCAGTACTTTAGTTAGACTAATTAAATTCCCATTTCTGTTGAATCATGTATCCCTATAAGGAGTGATAGCTTCATGAGATTCTTTATAAATAAAATTATTTCAATTAGAGAGAAAATTCAAACCATCCTTCCTTCTACTACCCCGGTCCCGTCAGATGATGCAGTTTTAGAGCTATTACTGGAGCGTGGTTTGTGTTCGCACTGTTTTTGTCCAGTTGAGCTCTCTGAATTGTCAAAAATAATAGCTTCATCCAAACCATCCACATGTCTTCTAGATCCCAACCAGACTGTTTAAAGAGGTATTTCCTCTAATTAATGTCCACATTTTGGATCTACTTAATTTGTCTTTAATGAATGGTTACGTACCACAGTGCTTTAAGGTTGCTGTAATTAAACCTTTACTTAAGACATTTGACCTTGATTCAGAAATTCTGGCCAACTACAGACCTATATCTAACCTAACTTTCATCTCCAAAATGAAGATGAAAAACAGACAGAGGTTGTGGTTTTTGGACCTGCGCATCTTAGGAATAAATTTTAAAGTCTTTCACTTTCTCTGAATGACATTAATTTGGCCTCAGTTATAAAGTTAAAAATCTTGGTGTTATTTTTGATCAGAACATGTCTTTTAATCCCCATATTAAAAATGTTACCAAAACGGCTTTCCTCCACCTGCATAAAATCACTAAAATTAGAAACATCTTATCGAAAAATTATGCAGAAAAACTGGTCCAGGCTGAACTATTGCAATGGTTTATTATCTGGGTGTCCAAATACTTCTTTAAAAAGTCATCAGTTGATCCAAAATCCTGCTGCCAGAGTTTTAATGAGAGTTGATAGGACAGATCATATCTCTCCAGTTTTAGCTTCTCTCCATTGGCTCCCTGTCAAATCCAGAATATAATTCAAAATCTTACTTCTAACCTACAAAGCCCTCAACAATTTAGCTCCATCTTATATTACAGATCTTATTGTTCCACATTTTCCTAACAGAGCACTTTGCTCTCAGATTGCAGGTTTACTTGTGGTTCCTAGAATTTACAAAAACAGAATGGGAGGCAGATCTTTCAGTTATCAGGCTCCTCTCTTGTGGAACCAACTTCCAGTTTCTGTCTGTGAGGCTGACACATTATCCAGTTTTAAGACTTTCCTTTTTGCTAAATCCTATCGTTAGGGTCAGCTTGGGTTTCCTGAGCTGTCCCTTAGTTATGCTGCCATAGGCTTAGACTACTGGAGGACAAACTTGGGGAGTGGTGACGCAGAGGTTAGAGAAGGCGGGTCTGTGATCGGAAGATCGCAGGTTCAAGCCCTGGTACCGACAACATCAAAAATGTGGGTGGGGTAGGTGAAGCACCCACACCTGCCCCCACCCTCATTCGCCCCACTCTGGGTCTCTGAGCAAGGCCCTTAACTCCCATCTGCTCCCTAAACAGGTCTCTCTTGAAAATGAGTTCTTGTGGCTCAATGAGACTACCTGGATACATAAAGGGTAAATGAAAAAAAAAAAAACTGACCACACTTTTCACTCTGCTACTGTCTTTACTTACTCTGCTCAACCTGTTTTGTATTTGTAATTATTTTTTCTATCCTTAACGTGGTTTTTTGTCTTTCAGACCACTTGTCCTGAGCCTGGTTCTTCTGGAGGTTTCTTCTTTTTAAAAGAGAGTTTTTCCTTTCCACTGTTGCCACTGTGCTTGCTCAGGATGGGAGACTGCAACGAAGCCAAGATTCATCTTGTCTGCTGGATTCCTTAGATAGAGAACTTTACTAACTGGCTTTTTTATGTATGTGAATGTTTCTGTAAAGTGCTCTGAGACAACTTTGTTGTGAATTGGCGCTATATAAATAAACTGAATTGAACTGAATCGATGGCCATCTTGTATTTTGATCATATTTACAAAGGTGAAAGGTGAAAAAAATTAGTCAGTTATCAAGCTCACAAAATGGATGGAAGAGTGAATGAACAGAGAGAAGGTATTTCCATCTCCCCTCCGTACATTGTGATGGGGGGGGGGGGGGGGGGGACTCTTCTACAGGTTCACTACAACATTAGAAAATAATCTGTTGCATATGGAAATGTTTTTTATATACAAAAATGAACGTATGGAAAAAATCCCCCAAAATTATAAAATTCCTTAATTCTATCTATCTAGATTTCTGGTAGAGAACAAATATAAGTAGATTCTAAAGCACTACTCCTAATTCTTTTTTTACAGCAAAGTTATCAGTACATAATATTTAGAAGAACTGCACAGCATCTGCTGTGATGTTAGAGTAGAATTTTTTTCAAACATTTTTTACACCTCCCCTGTTCATGTGAAAAAGTAGCTTCTGCACATCTGTATTTCTGTGGGCGAGTCAACACAGCTTTCCAGCAACACTCACATGCTGCAGCAACCCAACATCTCAATACCAAGCTGGACATCTGCCCAAAATTATCTTTACATCCTGACAGCTTGTTGCTCCCACAGTTCAGTAATACTGCAGGTCAACCATTTCAAGAGGATTTATGTTTTCCTTTGTTTGTATGTCTAAATACTATATGTGATCCAAGATCCATTCAATGCCACCAAGACTGCCTTAATATTTGTTGACTATACTGCCTGCTAACCTGTGAACCTACCAATCTGATCATTAAGACATCTGATTTTTGCTCAATTCATCAAGAACTATTAATTCCCCATAATTTCTCATTAATTGCTTAATTTTTTTTTAATAAACATGGAGAGGTTCTGTTAACAGATAACAAAAATGTACTGGTAATTTTCCTGCTGCTGCTGTAAAACAACTTCACAGAAAACGTTGGTTACGTACTGTAACCCCAGATTCTATGAATATAGGCGTAGCCCTTTAAGGCTGTCGCTGATGGGTTTATCCCGTTATGCGCAAGCATCGTACTGAAAAAATTAGTCCACGCCCACCTGCTGTGTGGGCCCCACCCGATCCGTATAAATTACGTTAAGAGCGGGTAATCTGCTCCCAAATAGCTTATTCTTTTCTTCAGCTATTCAGGAGCCAGTGAGGCCCGACGCTTAAAGGGCTACGCCTATATTCATAGAATCTGGGGTTACAGTACGTAACCAACGTTCTATGTCATATAGGCTTCGCCCTTTAAGGCTGTCGCTGATGGGTTAAGGGCGAAGCGGATGTGGTCCTCGCCTCACTGGGTCCATTCGAACCCAGTAAGAAGCGGAAGCTTGCCCAAAAAACGTCTTGCCACTCAGTTCCCCATGTGCATAATTACGCATCGCGTAATTGTGTGCCATGCACAGACGCATGTTGTGCAACTATGCGTTCTGACAGCATGAATGCCCCGGAAAAACTTTCAACGGGGAAGATATTGAAAAGAGGAGGGGGGGGGGGGGGGCA